TACAGGTGGAAATGGCTCCTGCCCTGGGCTCTAAAGGTCAAGAATACTGACTCCTCATTGTCGTTCAGTCTCACACATAATTTATCCTAGTTTTCATCACATAACAGGATAGAAGGTGGGGTGGTTGGTCTTCACTTCCCACTTAACAGCATTTAGAATCATCTAGGAGGGCCATCTGTGGGCATGGATGTGAGGGCATTTTCAGAGTGATTAACAGAATGGGGGAGGTTGTTGTCATTATGACCACAATACTTGACAGAAACGTAGGAAGAAGGATGTGTGGCCCAGGGACTCCTCAGTCCCCAAGGTGTAGAGGAGTCAGTCACCTGGAGCATGTGGCACAGGCCGCTCTCATCACAGCAAACCAGGAAGCAGAGAGAGCCAGACAGGAGCTAGGCCCAGACTGCAATCTTCAAAGCATGACCCCAACCCCAGTGGCCTCCTTTCTCCAGCAAGGGCCCACAGCCTCCCACACCACCAGCCCGGGAAAGACATCGAAACATGAGCTGTGGAGGTGCAGTCAGACTCACGTTATGGCAGAGATGTTTTCAAGCAGTGTGAGCCCTGGGTATAGGTGTGGAGGAGTGGGGAAGCACCAGAGACCCTCAGAGGAATGTGAGCTGATCCCTCCTCCTCATTTACTAGCGTTTTGTTTTCACTGACCTCCGCCCTCAGGCGTGCTGAAAGAACTCAGTCGTGTAAGGGGATGACCAGTTCCAGTCTGACCTAGCGGCTGAAACATCTCTGAATGGGGACGGCGTGTGTGCCATGGGTGGAGAATTGCTCATGCCATGGGCCAGACTATGATTCTGGCTTTCCCCTCCATGTTGGATGCTATGTAATTAGAGGGATATCTTGCCTGAGTGAGCAGGCAGACTGTTACATGAGGTAATGGCTCGGGAGATGATTTGTGTTACCTTGGTGATGGACAAGAGGAGACATATTTGGCTAGAAGAGAAGAGACATCACAGCTGGGCTTGAAAGGACCTCAGGTAAAGGGCAGAAACAAAGAGACACAGTGAGTGAGCCTGGATGTCAGCGGTGAAGAGATGATGTCAGGTGCTGCCTCCCTTCTCCCCGGGAGCCCTGGGTGAGAACCACAGCATCCCCATCCACAAGAAATAATGTGGCAATTAAAAAAACGTCTGCCTAGGCGCAGTGCTAATGAACACAACGCCTCTGTTTTAGAAATGAACACTTTTCCCTGTGGTCGTGTCGTATAAGCATGGCTTGGCATGGCATTTAAGAGGTAGAATGTCGGCCTCTAGGTGGGAGCCTGGGGAAAACAGAGAGAGGATATTTAGAGGGTAAATAGTGAAAAGGCTCCAAAACATTAGAAAAAGCCCAGCATAGGTTAACATGGCATGGAACACAACACTGTTGGCAAGATAGAAGACCAAGCCTCAAAAAATTCAAAAGGATAGAATGATTACAGAGTCTGAGTTCTGCAACAGAATTAAATCAGAAATAATACAAAAGTCTCTGGAAACCTCCTGCAGGTGGTTGAAAATCAAACATAAAATAACCAACAAATGAAAGAGGAAGTCCTGCCGGTCATGGTGGCACACAGATATGCTGAAGAGGCAGAGGCAGGGAGATCATGAGTTCCAGGCCACCCTGTGTTGCATTAAAAATAAGCAAGTAAGTAAGTAAGTAAGTAAGTAAGTAAGTAAGTAAATAAATAAATAAATAAATAAATAAATAAATAAATAAAGGAGAAAAAAAAAAGACAGAGGAAGTCAGAACAGAAACTAGAAAACAAAGTGACTGTCCCCTCTTATAATAGGATAGACCCTAACAAGGCCAGTTTTTTTTGTTGTTGTTTTGTTTGTCTGTTTGTTTTCCAGGGGCAAGTTTGCTAAGACTTCTGCCCCATATTATCCCGTCATCCTATGTTGACTCATGTCTGGCTTCAATCAGACCTTCAGGAAGTATGTCCAGTCTAGTAGCCAATCAGGGTCCTACCTGGCCACAAACAGGAACTGTTCTTGCTATTTTCAGTCAAACAGACTCCCGACACAGCAAACAGAGCCCTGACACTGCAACCACAGTTGCTGACCAGATGTCATGAGCTAATCATAAAATGATTCCTGTACCAATAAGGGTCTATACCCAATCACTTCAAAGTACACTTAACCACAAGTGGAATTCCCCTCATCCTGCTTAAAAGGAGCCTTTGAGCTTCTCTTGGGGTCGCCATTTGCCAGTTTGTTGGATGGTTTGACCCCAGCACGCTAAAATTTTTTTATTAAATGTTCTTGTTGATTGCATACATGACTGGTAGTCTTTTATGGGCCTTCTCACGGACCATAACAGAAAATAGTCTGAACGTTAAAGCAACATATCAAAATCTATGAGACACAGCTAAAAATGTTCTGAAAGGAAAGCTTACATCATCACGTTTGTAGTAGACAATGAGAAATATCCTAAACCTCTGAACTAAATCTTCATCTTAAAAGCAAACCTCAAGAAGGACGCAAAAACCATAAAAGCATATCTTGATGTAATCAAAACAGTAAGATAATGGAAAAAAATCAAGGAGTTGCTAACTTCCTTTGAAAAAAATAATTTAAAAAAAGGCAAACAGTGAGGCACATATGAAAGATGCTGGAAAGAGAGTTCTCAGAAGAGAAAGCCTAGTGTAGCTTCCAGGGCCCTGGGGTTCAGGAGAAGCACTTAGTGCAAAGAACAAAAAGGCAGGCAGAGTGATAAGGAAAATGGATTGCAGATTCCTACATGGTGAGAGGTGTTGTTGAAAATGAATAGAACTATAAATTAAAAGAAATAAGTGAATCGCTTCTCGGCCTTTTGGCTAAGATCAAGTGTAAAAGAAATAAGTGCTTCTGCATATAAATGAACCTCAATAAAACTCCCTTTTACTCTTCAAAGAAAGGATTTTTTTTTTTTTTTTTTTGGTTTTTCGAGACAGGGTTTCTCTGTGTAGCTTTGCGCCTTTCCTGGAACTCACTTGGTAGCCCAGGCTGGCCTCAAACTCACAGAGATCCGCCTGGCTCTGCCTCCCGAGTGCTGGGATTAAAGGCGTGCGCCACCACCGCCCAGCGGATTTTATTTTTATATGCTAGGACAACACAGTGAAGACTGGGCCAAGTGAATGAGAAAAATCTTGTTCAGATGGAAGGATGGCTATTTAATCCAAGGTAAAAGGAAGGTAGAGAGGAGTGCTTTTATGAGAGCACAGAACCCACCAAGCAGGTAAGGATACCCACGTAAAAACAAAAGCATCTTCACTGTACCCTGGGAGATTCAGGAATTCAGAAGATGCACCTTAACCCAACTGAAGCTACCCTAGACCTGAAGCACCTGGAAAGTGTCACATGAAAATGTAGGCAGAATTCCAGGCACATCCTCAAGATGGCTGTGCTGGCTATTTTTATGTCAACTTGACACATGCTAGGAAGAGAGAGACTCTTAACTGATAAAAAAAAAAGTCTTTCTAAGATTGGCCTGTGGGCAAGTCTGCAATGCATTTTTCCCATTGGTGATTGATGTGGGAGAGCCCACCTCAGTAGGGGCAGCACCACACCCACCATGGTCATGTCAAGCAAGCCAGTAAACAGCATCCCTCCGAGTCTCTGCTTAAATTCCTGCCTCCAGGTTCCTGCCTCAGTTCCTGCCCTGACTTTCCTCATTGATGGAGTATAGCCTGAGAGTTGTAAGGTGAAATAAATACTTTCCTCTGCTTGTTGTTTCTGGTCAAGGTGTTTTATCACAACAATAAAAACCCTAACTGTCTTGGTTTCTGCCATTCAGTTTGTGATGGTGTGGGTATGTACTAATAGGAAGCCACTTAAAATTGACTATAGAATTCAAATGTGCTTAGTCAATGAAAATACTGTCATGGTTTCGACCAAAGGAGTTTCTTAATAAATAGCATGTCAGCTTTAGTGACTTATTGGCCGTTAAATAATGAGCATCACACAACTAACATTATGGTGAAAAGAGACTAAGTCAAGAGTGTGTTTGGAAAACTACTGGTATCAATTCCATCAAGAGGTGGCCAGGAAGCCATCATAGGCTGGTGGAGGAGCTTCTGTGGAAGATCCCATGCATGCAGCCTGGTCTCCTCACATTGACATCCCCTTCAGACTTCCCTTCTCCACCTCAGATGATGACTACAGAGAACCAAGTCTCCCCACAGGGTCGGATTCTCTCCCACAGGGCTCCAGGACCAAGAATAACACTGAGCATGAAAGCACTTCGGTCTTCACTGGACTTTCTTCACACTAACCATCATCTTTATTCACATGGACAAATACGGGTGATAAGTTTTGAACCGCCGGTTATTGTATATCCACCACCACTGATGTAATAAGCCAATCAAACCGAATTGATAAATCCAGGTTTAATGAACAGAGCAAAGTAACTCTCCTGGGTGACCCTCAGGAGGGTAGAAGAGGAATCACATGGCAAATACCATGGCCAGGTCTTAAGTAGTCTGCAGGTATGGTCTTGAGCAGCCCTAAGGAGGGGCTAACTCTTGGTGGGCTTTCTGAGGGGAGGGGCTGTTGTTTGGCAGGCTTTCTGAGGGGCAGAGTTTGGAGGGGGCAACTCCAGTAAATATCCAGCAGACATCATTCTCAAAGAGTCTTTCCACATATATGAAAATACAAGAATGTTGTTTAAATTCTTATAATTGTCGCTGTATTCTTGTACATTAAAAAAATTATACTCACGCTGGGGGTGGCGGTGCACACCTTTAATCCCAGCACTCAGAAGGCAAAGGCAGGTGGATCTCTGGGTTTGAGGTGAGCCTGGTCTAAGAGTGAGTTCCAGGATAACCAGGGCTACATAGAGAAACTCTGTTTTGGAAAAACAAAAAAACCCAAAAAAACCAGCAATAACAAAAACTATACTCTTCATTTTCATTTCAGTGTTTAGACATAAGACTCTTCATTTTTATAACTTTACTAGTTCTTTTGTACTAAGGAATTGTGAGTTCTAATAATTACGCAATAAAAATAGAACATGTAATGACTTACCTTGTAACTTTTTAGTCTGATGAAGTCCACCTTCATAGAGACAAATCGATCTGAATTTCGGCTGATGTTCTTAAGGTGTTCTACAAGATCAGCACAGAATTTGTAACCTCCTTTCAGCACACACAGGACCAGAATATCATGGTAGCCTATGTCTTTCATTATATCTTTAGCCAGCCGCTCAATTCTGAAAAAAAGTAAGAAATAAAAGATACATTAAGGTGCAACTAATAAACAGTATGAATGTTTTATACAGATCAGATCACTCAGGTGAATATAGAGAGAAGTTCAGGAAACAGAAAGCTTCAGGCAGATAAGTTCTGTTAAGGGGAAAACAAAGTGGGCTGTGGAATAATCCTCTTGTACACTGAGAAGATTTGTAACTTGAATTGGTTTAATAAAACACCAATTGGCCAGTAGTCAGGCAGGAAGTATAGGTGGGGCAACCAAACTAAGAGTGCTGGAAAGAGGAAGGGCAGAGTCAGGAGTCACCAGCCAGATGCGGAGGAAGCAAGACGAGAATGTTGTACAGAAAAAGGTACCAAGCCACATGGCTAAACATACACAAGAATTATGGGTTAATTTAAGTGTAAGAGCTAGTTAGTAATAAGCCTGAGCTACCAGCTGAGCATTTATAAGTAATATTAAGCCTCTAAGTCAATTATTTGGGAGTTTCTGGTGGGACAGAAACTTCTGCCTACAGAAGTGTTCAGAAAATACTTCTAACAGTGACATCACAGCTCCCGTATGTTGTAAACAGTGAAGTGTTAGCGATCATACATGTCACCTATCATTCTCTCATTACAGAACCTGCTTGTTAAACTTTAAAATGTTTTGATGGTATTTAGTGATATCCTCATTTTATAGCAAAGAAAGTAGAAATAGAGAGAGTGCTGATTGGTTTTCTTGCCTACTTGATACAAACCTAGACCTATGTGGGAAGAGAGAATCTTAATTGAGATAATGCCTCCATTAGATTGGCCTGTAGGCAAGTCTGTGGGGTACTATGTAGATTAATGATTGGTGTAGGAGGGCTCAGATCACTGTGGGCGGTGCCATCCCTGAGCAGCTGGTCCTGGGTTATATTAAAAGCAGGCTGAACAAGCCATGAGGAGCAAGCCAGTAAGCAGCCTTCCTCTGTACTCTCTGCTTCAGTTCCTGTCTCCAATTTCCCACCCTGTTTGAGTTCCTGTCCTGACTTGCCCCAGTGATGGACTGTTACCTGGAAGTGTAGGGTGAAATAAATCCTTTTCTCCCCAAGTTGCTTTTGGACCTGGAGTTTTATCACAGCAAAAGAAATCCTAATACAGGGAATCATTCTCTCACCTTACACTGGAAGAAAAGTCAAGTTCAACGTAACCAAAACAACAACAAAGTCATATATTCACCAAAGGAGCATACCACATATGGGAAAGCTGCTCCCATACAACACCAAGAGGTGTAATAAAGGATGAAATCCAATATGCAGGATGTTCCCTGGAGGCAATGAACAGGCCTTGGCCTGCCCCTGGCAGCTCACTGGAACTATCTTCACAGGTTTCTACTCATTCCATGTCTACAAGGGCATAGCTACTCCCCACATAAAGCTAAAAACTTAGACAGAGGTAGGATCTCAAGTATGTACTTAAAAAAATCCATACTAGCATTTAAAGTTGGATTAGATTAAAATAGACAAACTGAATTATGTATATATGAATACACAATTTTATAATCTCTATATTCTACATATGTGGTATAGATTCTATATTACACTTTCTAAGTGTTCATATACAAGCACACATAGAATGTCAGCTATGTTTTCAGGTAGTGTTTATCTAAATTTGATCATGCAAAGATTGTACATCAGGATATCTGGCATGATTTTACAAAGAGGCATTTAAATTTATAAATTTTTCATTACATTTATTTATTTAGCATATGCACACATGTGTGCATACATACCACAGTGTGTATATGTGTGTGTGTGTGTGTGTGTGTGTGTATGCACACATATGCATGTGTATGTGGGGGGGTGCTTGCATGCGTATATATGTATATATATATATGTATATGTATCTATGCAAGTACATGTACATTTGGAGGCCAAGGGTCAAATTTCATAGGAGGGTATCATTTTGTAGGAGCTGTCCATCATACTTTTGAGACAGGGTCTCTCAGTGGGTCCTAGAGCTTACCAGTTAGGATAAACTGGCTCCCTGCAAGTCCCAGGGCCTGCCTGTCTCTGTCTCCCCAGAGCTGGAATGACGGGCATAGGCTACCATACCAGCCTTTTCCCTGGGTTCCGGGGCTCAAACTCAGATCCCCATGCTTGCACAAGGACTTTTCCAACTGAGCATCTCCCCAGCCCCGCCTCCCCAAATCTCACTTTAAACATAAAGACTCAGATTAAAGCGAAAGAGAAGGGCATGACATGCTAATACCAATCAAAAGCAAGCTGAAGAAACTATCTTACTTTCAATCAGAATATAGGTATCAGAGTAAGGAAAATGATCAGGACTAAAGACGGCCATTGCCTCCTCAGCGATCTCTGTCAGTTCCTGAAGAAAACATAAAAATCCTTACTGTATGCTCCCCTAAGGATGCCAGATGACTGACAGAACAAGGAGAAACAGACACACCCACCACTGCACTCAGACACTTCTGCACCCCCTCTACCAGGAGGATCCAGCAGTTGGAACATCAACAAGGGAAAAGTTGAATTGAACAACCATCAAGAAGCTGGATCCAGTTGATATGTGTAGAGCACCCCACTAGACAGCAGAATATACATTATTCTCAAAAGATTCCAATAAGAAAATGACAGAGCCCGACAGACTGGAAAAAATATTTATAAATCATAACCTGATAAAGGATTTGTTTCTAATATATCTAATTATATATTCACATATATATATTCACACACACACACACACACACACACACACACACACACACACACACACACACATACCTTTTATAACTCAACAGGAAGACAAACAACCAAACAAAGAAACTGGCAAAGGGCTTGGATAAACACTTTTAACCCCCACAGAAAAAGAATAGGGGTAGCCGATAAGCACACTAATGATTCAGAAAGTGTAAGTTCAAATCACAGGGAGATATCGTTATACATCTATTAGGATGTCTGTGATCCAAAGGACAGACAATACAACATGTCAGCAAATATGTGGAGAAAACTGGGGTCCTGCTGAACTACTAGGGAGGCTGGAAAAGGTCACAGCCTCTTTAGTAAACAACCTGCAGTTCTTGAAACTCACCAGGAAGTCCAGAATTCTACCCCCAAGGATCCCATCCAGGAGAAATGAAAAGATCCACCCATACCACAACTGTACGAAAACTGTTCACAAGTCCGAATTAGAAGTCCAAAGGTTCACTGGCTGCTGGATTGATGATTAGATATTTTATGACTTCATTTCCATGACACATTCAGAGACATTTCCAGGGGAAGAAAGCTGATTAGTAACTGCCTGGTAGTAGTAGGTGAATGTAATTGCAAGACTGGGTAGTGGAGATGGAACCCAAGCATAAAAATGTGCTGGTAGTATAGAATCATTCCCCCATAATGGGTGAATTCCGCAGTCTGTAAAATATGTCAAATGTTTGTTTTAAAGGTGAGGACTGAAATTCTGCAGTCTGTAAAATATGTCAAATGTTTGTTTTAAAGGTGAGGACTGAAATCCTGGGTCCCACTCTGAACCACTGATGCAGGATTTTTAGACATAAAAGATAACAATACATACTCTACCAAGTTCACTGGCTGGTTCCACTGTTTAGCGAAAGGGCTAGGGTCCTTTCACTCAGACTTGATCATGCTTTCAATCAGGGAGCAATTAACTAAACCACAAAATTCAAGTGAGGAAAGTAAGAATTTGTTTACACACAGGGCCTCCCAAACTGATACTAGGGGAAATGGCTTGTGAGGTGTATGAAAAAGTGAATAAATGAAGTTACTTTTTGCACACATTAAGTTGACATAACTGTTTAAGTCAAGAGCCTTCATTACAATTTTGGGGGGCAAAATTCCCCCAATCTTTGATATGCTAATGAGATTTTGCACTATGGAAAACTGCATAATTCCCTAAATTTATTTGACAGAAATTTTCTTTTTTTAAGGACCAAATGTGGTTGCCATGGGAAATCCAGCTTAGGCCATGATAAACTCCACACTAGAACTTGTTTTTATGATATACTATGAGTTGAGACAGCAAACAACATACAAGTCTTAGCCAATAGAAATCTTAGACAATCTAGGAATTTGTATGAGTGACAAATCCTTTTCCTTACTGACAGTGATTGATGGAAAGATATTATCTGGGAAAGCGTCCTATGGATAGTTTTGAGCATTTCTTATGCTTCAAGGACTTGGTTCACAGAGTGAAATTGAACCTCACCAGACTATAACAGATTAAAAAACAATAGACTACAGATGGAAGAAAGAGTTAGCCTGGGGACTCCAATTTCTCACTCTCCACTGTCTTCCTCTCTCTGGGTTCTGGGCCTCTGAGGAGTCGCTGATCCGGGACCTGGTCTTCCATGTGAGTGTGAAGATTTACTTATTCAGTCTTGGTACAGGAGTGGGCTAGGTAGTGCTGTGGGATGTTCTGTATGGCAAATGTGTTGCTAATTAGTCAATAAATAAAACACTGATTGGCCAGTGGCCAGGCAGGAAGTGTAAGCGGGACAAGGAGGAGAATAAAGCTGGGAAGTGGAAGGCTGAGTCAGGGAGACACTGCCAGCCGCCATGATGACAAGCAGCATGTGAAGACGCTGGTAAGCCACGAGCTGCGTGGCAGGGTATAGATTTGTGGAAATGGATTAATTTAAGCTGTAAGAACAGTTAGCAAGAAGCCTGCCACGGCCATACAGTTTGTAAGCAATATAAGTCTCTGTGTTTACTTGGTCGGGTCTGAGCTGCTGTGGGACTGGCAGGTGAGAGAGATTTGTCCTGACTGTGGGCCAGGCAGGAAAACTCTAGCTACAAGGTAGTTTAGGTACTGAGGCGGTTCTGTTACAGGGCTACATCTACAAATCCAGATCCATGGTAGTGAGTCAAAGACAGCCTTTTGAAAACCAGGAGTGAGGGGAAATGTCTAGAACTAGAAATGAAGGACCTGGAACGGGAGAGAAAATACCTGTGCTCTCCACAGACAGCCTGAAGTTGCACATTCTGTTATTCTCAAAACATTACCACGGATGGCCATAATCATACACAAGCTGACTGGCCGGCCAGTGACACACTATTCCAAAGGAAAGGAAAGTTGCAGGGAAAGGTCAGGGTTTTCAGAGCGGGTCCTGTGAAGGTAAAGTTCACCTCCTAACTCCCCCTGGTTAAACCAAAAATCTGTGAAAAGCATGAGACAAATGTTTCTAGGTGCAAACCATGCTTTCTGGTCCTCTACTCCATGGTAAGTACAGGACATGGCTTTTTTGGTGGGGGGGGAGGGAGTATTATTTATATTAGCTTATGTGTGTGTATCTTTCTTACCAATCTTCCTGAATAAATGCCTACGTACACCACTCAGTGAAGGCACACACTCCTTGCGTTCAAGTTTGCTACCCTATAGAAGTTCTCCCTACCATCAGGAAAAGTCTCTAACAGTACTGTAAGTGTCCCACAAGAGGGGGCCGCCCGATGCAGTGCTGACCCACCACACAGTACTCACCTGTCCACTATGATGCCATGAGGGATGAGCACACACTCCAGATCGCCATAATAGTGCTGTGGATACGTGAATAAATCCAAGTCATATCCCGGCCAGTTATCCATAAGCTGTAAATCAAAGTAGTTCCGTTATGGTATTTTTCATGATTAATTTATTTTCTTAAATGTAAATAGTAAGAAAAACACCCGTCATTTGAAAACAGAATAATGTTGAACAGGGAGATTAGGTCTGCACATCTCAATACATTAATATCTCCCCTCGAGCTCTGAAAAGCTTAGTCAGAGGTTCTTGTTTATGCAGTCTGATAGAACAAGGGAGTGCTAAGATAACAGTGTACTCCACTCCTAACTAGGTTATTATTTATGCAACCTGATAAAACAAGGGAGTAGTAAGCTCAATGGTGTGTTCCATTATTGGCATCATACAATATAAAAATGCAAACCTAATGTCTTTTTAAAAAAATGATTTTATTATTTTTATTTCTATATGTGTGCCTGCATGAGTTTATGTGTACCATGTGCATGCAGGTATCCTCAAAAGCCAGTTCAGAGGCCAGAGAGCATCTGATGCCTTGGGAATGGAGTTACAGATGTTAACTGCTTGATGTAGGTGCTGGGAACTAAACCTGGGTCCTCTGCAAGAACAGTAAGTGCTCTTAACTACCCAGCCATCTCTCCAGCCCCTAAACTCAATGTCTCAGAGCTAACCTGTTGGAATTATGTAGAAGATCATGTTTATGAAAGGACTATATTGGTGCAGCTCAATAATAGAGTGAATGTCCAGTATGTCTGAAGTCCTAAACTCAGTCTCTGGCACTGTAAAAAGAAGTATGTATGTGTAAGCACATACTTTGTATCTATATTTTTAAATATTATGACTATATTATACACATTTATAATTGTATAATAAAGAGTATTATGATATATTCTGCATTTCTATTCACAGTGAATTGCCTCATCTGCCTGGGAAGGTTTACCTATGGGGCTGGAGAGATGGCTCAGAGGTTAAGAGCACTGACTGCTCTTCCAGAGGTCCTGAATTCAATTCCCAGCAACCACATGGTGGCTCACAATCACCTGTAATGAGATCTGGTGCCCTCTTCTGGTCTGCAGTCACATATGCTGTATACATAATAAATAAATAAATCTTTAAAAAAAAAAAAAGTATATCCCAGGATCACAGTAGACCCAGACTTCTGGGTGCCCCCATCATTCCAATAAAGACTAAAACAGGATATGCTTTTTAAGGAACTTCAGCCTTTCTTAGTTAGAATGCAGTGGTCCAAGAAAACTGGCCTATTCACAGAACATAGACTGATAGCAAGCCAGCAGTCCTTTCTCTTGCTTAAAACTTAATGTACAAGGGTTTTTTTTTTTTTTTTTGGTTAGAATAATAACAAGATGTGGAAGAAAATGAAGGTGAAAGTTACTTTTCCTTTCACATAAACAAGAAGGATACAATAATGAAAAATGCTATACGTGAAAACCTTTCTGTATAAGGTTTCATAGCTCTCTTTCTTTAATCGTTTTTCATGCTGTCTGGACTAGCCTGTCCAGCTTTGAGCCATGGAGGGCTTTTATAACACAGACTCACCCTGATTTTCTAGCTCATTTCTACATCTAGTCCCTGCCTTCAGATTGGTTTCCAGCTTAGTCATGATTCTGTGCATGTATATGCATATATATATATATAATATTTTATTAAGTCTTTGAACATTTTGCATATGCATATGTATTTTGACTGTATTCACCCCAACTCCTCCTCCTTGCTTCTTTCAGATTGACTCCCTACCCACCACCTCTCCCAATTTCCTGTTCTTTTTTCCCCCCTTAACCCACTGAGCACAATCTGTGTTGCCCTCACACTCATGGGGGTGGGGCCTCATCCACTGGATCGTGTTATCTACTAGATGCTGTACCCTGAGAGAAAACTGACTCTCCTTCTCCCAAAGGCCATCAGCGGTCACTGGTTCCTTAACTAAGGGCTTAGGAGCCCTTCCTCTCCAAGCTAAAATGTTGACTGGATTGAGCTTGTGCAGGCAACCACAGTCATGACTGCAGCGGTCCTGTTTTGTGCAAAAGATAATACTGCCTTCTGGTCCTTCCTGACCTCTGGCCCTTGTATTTCTGCTCCCTCTTCTGAGATGGTTCCTGAGCCTTAGGGGGAAGGGGGGTGATACAGATGTCCTATTTGTGGATGCAGACTCCACAGTCACTCATTCTCTGTACTTTGTCTCTGCTTTAAGGGGCATCCAGTGCACCAAAACCTCTCAAGGGGAGCTGAGAGCTGCACTAATCTATGGGTAGAGAGACATGATTTGTTTCTTTGTTCGTTGTTTTATTGGTTTTGTTTTGTTTTGGTTTTTTGGTTTTTGAGGCAGGGTTTCTCTGTATAACAGCCCTAGCTGTCCTGGAACTCATTCTGTAGCCCAGGCTGGCCTTGAACTCATAGAGATCTGCCTGCCTCTGCCTCCTGAGTGCTGGGATTAAAGGTGTGCACCACCAGGCCTAGTCCAAGAGACAGGAATTACAGGGCAGTTCGATAGTATGTCCATTTAGAAAAATAATTGTAAAAGGTTCAATACTGTGGCCTAATAGCTCCCCAACCATGGGTTCTTGGCCGTATTTGCAGTACCAGGCATGTTTCTATGGTGCAGGTCTCAAACCCTGCAGCATCTGGGGGGTCTCCAGGACACCTCATTCTTTCCAGCTCTGACTTCATTCATTTCTCTTACACACTGCCCTGTTCTTCCTACTCCCTCCGTCTCTATGCCAAAGTTCACCTCCTTCTTGGAAGCTCAGGTCAATCTCACTTCTTCCTGGAAGCCTCGCTGACTGTTCTCACGTTGTGATCCTCTAGCCTATTCCCTTGGGGTTCCCTGCAGCTCTGTTTTAGAAAAGGCTCCACCTCGGGCTCTTTGGGGACATTTCCACACTTTCCATTCTCATGCTCTGTCTTTATCTCTTTGCGGCTGGTTTAGAGTCTGTTCCAGCCACTCCATCTGGTACTGAGACATTCTCCACCCTGCTCCCACCCTTCTCTGGATGAAGGACTCAAAACCAATTCCCTTTGACTCAGGTTTTAGAAAGGATGTTTTATGGTAGAGCCCAAGCCACTCTCACGCTAATTTTGGTCTCTAGCCAGACCAAACTCATGCTATATCTCCCCAAATTTATCCCTTCCTTATCTCAACACATTCTTCTGGTTCCTCAGACTGAGACCTTAGCATTGGCTTCTTTTCTCCCTTTAATCTTTGTGCCGCTCAGTCCTTCATCTTCTCCCCAGTTCCCTCCCAGTGTGAGCAGAACCACACCTGAGCAAGCCCCACCGCTCCCTCTCCGCCCCGATCTGGGTCTACGCTGCCATCACTTCATCCTCGCCTACTGCGGAAATGGCCGAACCTGTCCGTGCTTCTCCCACTATGGGAGCTAAAACGAGCTTTGAGGAGTGAATTTCACACCGTGACATTCTCTTACTCCAACATTTTCAAGGGCTTCTCATTCCATGCTGAGTAAAACCTGGAGCCCTCACTGTGGCCCACAAGAATGCCCTTCTCTTGATTCTCTGGCACCTTCTCTTCACTCTGCTCCAACCGCTTTCTCCTCACTGATTGAATCTGCTGAAAATGTGTAGTATTCCGTTATTTCTTTAGCCTACGATACTCTTACTGCACATGACCACATGGCTTGCATATTCTTTTCCTCGGTCTTCGTTCACGGTCACCTTTATGGAGAGGCCTTTCCTGACCACAAATATAAATTGGCACTCTCTGCCCTTCCCATCCCATTTCTGTATCCTTCATATCTAATTTACTTTCCTTCATAGCATGTATTCTACTAGATGTGTGTGTGTGTGTGTGTGTGTGTGTGTGTGTGTGTGTGTGTGTGTGTGTGTTCTGACTTGTCTCATCCCGCTAGAATGTGAGCTACTTCTGGCAGAGACTTTATCTTACTCTTTGTTGAATCCCTAGAGCTCAGATCACTGATCTGAGATCTGTTGAGTACTAAAAAGTATTGAAGAATCGAATGAACGAGACAGTCTTTACCTCAGAACTCCAACCTCAACCCTTAGTTTGTCTGCTTGGATAGAAATAACTACTCTTCAAAGCTCTGGAGATTCGGAACTGTAGTACTGGCCAAAGAGTATACATCATCTGCATAACGCAAAAAGTGTTGTGTTCGCTGCACCTTACCAGCACGCTGGTTGGCATGACTGGTGAACTTGTACAGAGCAACTCTGGATCTCACCATGAAAATTCCAGGAGTCTGCTGTAACCTTTAACACCAGAGTGGCTGCCCAGTGACCTAACAGCTGCACCTGAATGGCATACAGTCTCTGTGAGAGCCCCTTGGCACGGTCACGACCATCCAGGGAGATCACCCAAGCACTTTTTTTCTGGCTTTCCTTCTGGACATACGATGCTACCCACTCTACTTCCTGGAGCTCATCTGCTCACAACACTGGTGGTCTCCTGAGCTCTTTTCTCCCCTCATGCAAATCCTTACAGATCTTTGCTCTGAATCACAGAGATTCCTCTCTATGCCAAGGTCATGTTCCCCTCTGATTTTTACTGCCGTGAGATTAGGAGGCCCTGTTTTCCTTTTCTTTCTTTAGTTTTTGAGACAGGGTCTCACTATGTAGGCTTGGCTATCCTGGAACTAGCTATGCAGACCAGACTGGGACTTAGACTCAACGGAGATCCACCTGCTTCTGCCTCTGTCTCCTGAGAGCTGGGGTTAAAGATGTGTGCCACTGTGCCCAGTCCTTGACTTCCTTTTCTTTAAGATACAGTAAAATCTATGGAGTGCATAACATCAAATAGTGAGTGCGTAAGAAGCACTAAACAAATGCAACCCCCCCAACACACACACACACACACACACACACACACACACGTATGCCAAAGGAAAGGAAAAGATGATAAGAAAATTATGAAACAAATCTATATGTGAAAATGGTCAGAGCAATCAGTAGCTCGGAGCAACATGAGTAATGGTGGATATCACAGATTTCAAAATCTAGCTCCTCTAGGGCAAGTCTGTTGGCTATGGGACCTTGGACATACCGACGTCTCTAAAATAAAGGCAACGCCTGCCTCACATGGCTATTGTAAAGGTTAAATAAGACAGAAAATTAATACAAGCCTCACTAGCACGTGGCCTATAGTGCTTATGCGATAACATTAGGCATGTAACTATACTGAAGCATCGGTTGTCTACATAACTCATAATCATTTATATAAGTATGTTTTAACTCATTTAAGGAAAAACCTCAGTGTGATTTGCCAAAGTCTTACTACCCCAGCTCAAGCAGTAAAATTAAATCTGGTAGAAATGCATTTCTCTAAAACTGTTCTCACAATCACAAGTGGCCACTATTTGCAGTTAATCTGAAATGGTGCTTTCACTGAGGAGATAAGACAACCAGAGACAGGAGGCTCCAGGTCTGCTTTACTGTCTTTGCACACGAATTGTGTAATGAGTAAGTCTATCCCCAGAGGGAAGCGGGGTGCCTCTGAACCTTAGGTAATGGATTCACTTGCTTTAAAACAAAAACAAAAAACAAACAAAAAAATGAAAAACAAAGAAATCTTTAAATAGTTTCAGGATCACAGATAACGTGTTCTAAGTTTATTCCACACAATGCCTTCTCTGTTCAAAGAGGCAAAAACATCTCCAAGCTGGAGAAATGACAAACACAGTCACTGAGTCATTTTTATACTACGTCCAAATCCAGAACCCATCTGACTCTCTCGGTCGCATTTAAAGCTACATCGACAACCTATTTTTTCCCCCTTAGACTATTACTTTCCAGCGAGAAAAACGGCTCAGAAACACATGGGATGCAGCTCAAGTCTGCTTCTGTCCCCCTCCGAGCTCCATGCACTTGGCCCTACTCTCCCCTGCAGACAGACGATTGTCATTGGTTTTCATGCCTGTGCCTCTCTCTCCAACAGCACAGAACCGCAGACAGCAACATCAGCCGGCCCAGCCCCAGAGTCCAACTCAACCATGCTAGAACGGTGGACCCAAGAGGTCCTGAAAGCAGGGCCCATGTTCTTCTGCTAATGCAATGACAGAGCTCAACGGGCCACAGGACAGGTTGGATCCCAACGCCTTCCTCTTCTGCATTATTCCTCTTCCTCTTATTTATTCTCAGATATTGCCACACAAGGGAAGGAGAGAGCTAAGCATAACAGAAACTCAACAGTAACTTTGCTTTTTCTCATCTTTTCCCAAACTTACTTGTGTAGGTACCAACTATGGATCGTTTGACAACACTTCAGTAAAGCACAAACTGGAGGGACAAATCTGTTTAAGAACCTGACCCCCAAAAGCCAGGCAGGAGGAGAAGATCTTATCTCCTTGAGAAATAATCAGGAAGTATCAGCTACACATCTGGTGACTTTACTAGCTCCAAACCAAGTGACCCAACTTTGAGCAAGATCTCTGGACTCAGTCTACATCTTTTCATCTAGCAATTATTGTATGCTACTATTTATTCTTTATAATGCATTAATGCCCCTCCTACCCAAGTCAACTGAAAGTCATCTGCAGGTAAGACCCATTTTAACTTTTTTAATTAGTGAATTGTTATTTCACATTTTCATATGTGTGCACTATGTATTCTGGACCTACCTTCCTTCCTTTTCTCTCTGACCCCCTTCCAGCCAACCCCTCCTCCCTATAATTACCTTTCCTCTACTTGCTTTGGTTTTCTTTAGTGTCCCAGATTGTTTAACCAGGGTCACCTGTGTGACACTGAGTTTGGACCTACCATCAGAGCCTGGCGGGCTCCACAGTGGGTACACAATCGTGCCTCCCCCTCTCCCAGAATCTGTGGGTTTCCCACAGATCAGCAGCATGTGATAAAGTCCTCTGGGTCCCTTCTCTCTTCACAGCTGACTGTTAGGAGGGCCTGACTTCTGTGGGCCCCATATCAGTACACCCCGCTGCTGTGAGTTCGTGCTTCCCATCCCTACATCCTGCTCTTTCCCAGCCCCCTTCCCCATCTTGAGGCTCTTACATTCTTTCTGCCCTCTCTTCCACCAATCCCCTGAGCCTTACAGAGCTCACTCAATGTCTTGTCTCCGGCAGACACCTCAGCCATCCTTTATTTTTACCATCTAGAGCAGCCACAGGTCTTTACCTTTATTTCCTTTCCCTGGAAGGAGAGACTTCTCTGTTCAGGTATCCTTTATCTGGTAGAGCTGGACCATGAGTGGCTTAGATTTCTTAGCAGTCCCTCTTCTTACACAAATGGTGCCGTGTCATGATTAGATCCCTCAGCTCCATATTCCTCTAACCGTTACCTTTGCCACCATAGCTCTCCAGACCCGGTTTTTCCTTCCTAGTCATTGTTAAACACCTTGGATGCTTTACTAAAACCTGCCTTCCTGATCTTTCTAACTATCTTGTAACTCCTTCAACTGTCCCACTCAATTAGTTTTTCCTAATTCCACATGAAGCAACACAGTCCCCTAAGCCCACCGGCCCTCCAGAGCAGCCCTGCCTCTGGAGTGACAGGCTCCTGTGCAGCACAGTGTTTGAAAGCTGGCTCAGAGTCTGCGGCTGTCACCTGCTAGTTACGTGCCTAGCCTAACTACATAATGGGAGGCTTTACGTCTTCTCTCAGAGCCCTCCTCATCTTTGTTTCTGCAAAATGGAGAGTGTTGGGTACCTACTTACGGATTTGTTCTGATAAAATGAAGGACTTGACAAAAACACAAAAGAAGTGCCTGATAAAACCCTGTTTTTTTTAATCATTTTAATTTATTATTTATTAATTTCCTTACTAGTTTTTTTTATTGTTATAACATCCTCTTGATTTTTTTCACCCCATCCTTAAGAGCTCTCTGTTTTGCTAGCACACTTCTCTTCTCTGGCTTTCTTAACCCTTTCCTTTCTTCAGCACCTGAATTTTCTCTGAACTTTACTGTCCAAGTTCTACTGGAGAAATTAACATACGTGGGGGGACATTTCCATCCTACACTGGTGACTGCCAACCTTGGGGGCACTTTGTGCAGTAGAGCAACTACTCTTGGGGCCCAAGCTCCTCACCAGCTAATGTACACGGCTTCTCCTCTTCCTACGCACGCTTGCTATGTTCATGCATCTCTCACTAGAAGGCCTCTGTTGACACTAATAGATGGGACTATTATATTTACACTGTTCTATCATTTGCTTTTTAGACTTCAATAATCTACCCATCCTACTAATACATCTAGATTTATCTCCTTTTGATTTTTTAATAATCAGTGGTGGGGATGGATTTTATGCAAGGCAAATGCTCTGCCTCTGAGCCACACCACCTGCCGGATCATGTTCTTTAGAAGCATCTAGGATTTACTATACAGGGTACTCTAAGCATTCTAGGGGTGGCTATTTGAAAGAAGCTCCACCCTAAAGGCCTCCTGCCCACTCTCATGCTACCTGCTCCTTTGGCAGCATCTGACACTCTTGAAGATCTCACGACCCTGGCAAATCCACTTCCACCCAACTGTGTTCCTAGGCATCTACTCTTCTGCTTTCTGCCAACAGCTCTTCATTTTTGGTGGTCCCTTTGTCTGGCTCTGTGCCACAGTGTAACTCTCACATTTGGAGGCTTTCCACAGGCATCTGTTCTCAACAGTTGTTTTAATTTCTTCCATTTTCCACTTCATTCATTCATCCCCCAAATATTAACCAGCCTTCCGCTGATGGTTTTCCAAATCTACCCTGTCACATTCTGGAGTTTCAAGTATGAATTTTAAATTGCCTACAGGGTAACCTGAGCTGTGGGCATTATAGACTTAATAAAGGAGTTAATTTCATGATTTCCTCTTTCATATTTTCACACCCCTCCCATCTGGTCTATCATCCCTAAGGTGACTAGAATGTTTTTATTGTAAAAACACAAATCAGATACAACGATCTCTTCTTTGCTCTTGCTATGTGTCTCTCTGTGCCTTGGGTCCCCACATGGTCACCTTCTGTTTATGTTTCGGATCTTGGGTGAAATGTCACTGCAACTCTGATCCTATGAGCAAAGACACTGCTTCCCACCCGCTTCCAGTAGCTGTTTTCCTTCCGGTTGTCCACCGGGCTGTCTGAATTATCTTGACTATGTGTTTTCACACTGCTTGCCTATGTCCCTCCCTTAGAATGCACATTCCAGGAAAAAGAGCCTTTGTCTTGTTCCAACAGTAAGACCTGACTAGCAGGGCAGACTAAAGGCACCCCTCCTTTAAGAAAGGCAGGACTTGCTGTTAAATTAAGAGCTGAACCCCACATTTCAACCTGAACAGTTCTATTTAAGTGAGAGGCTTTTCCTTCCCAACCCCCTTGTTCTAATTCAATCCATTCATTTCCATAAACAGATTAACTGCGAACTACACGCGGAGCTTTGGGAAGACAGTCTTAGTGACGCGTCAGCCCACCCACCACCCTCACACCTTTTCACACCAGTCCTGGTAGTCATAACCACCCTCCGCTGGAGTTTAATTCCAGGATTCTGGGAGGTGGGTACCCTCTGGTTGACACCTGAATGATCCCTAGATTTGAAGAGTTTCGGATCTGGTCCCACCCTCCATCCTTCCATCACGAGACACACTACTGGGTATTTCACACATCCAGTTTGTCTTCCTTCACAGACAGGGTTAGGGCGCTCCGACTGCCGACTTCTGCAGAGCCGCGCCCCAGATTGAAAGCTCGGATTTCATTCACTTGTGCTACTTTGTATCTTGACTCCCCTGAAGAGTTCTCAGTAGCTTTTTTATGAAAACAAAACTCGAAACTCATTGAAGTGAGAAGGCAGCCGCTAGAGCAGCACGCTGGGGTCTTCCCAGACCCCAGCTCTCAGGCCAGGCTCTTTGTGGCTAGCACAATTGGGGGCCAGGTAGCACGCAGGCTTCCAGGCCAGGGACCCGAGGAAGGGGAGGAGGGGAGGAGTTACTGGGAACTCGGGATGAAGGAGCGATGTTAGTAGAGGTTTCCTCAGTTGGGGTGGAAAGGGGAGGCCAGGATGCGAGGAAGGCAGCGATCTCCGCCGGGAGGAGGAACAAAGCCGTGGCCGGTTCTCACCCAAACGTATTTCAGCTAAAAGGGGATGCTACGAAGGGAGGGGAGAGGAGCGAGCTAGGGAGCCCGGGGTCCGGAGTTTGCATTTACCACGACGCCTCGCCCGGAGTCTGGCGCCTTCTCACTGCTCCCGGCCATGTCTCTCGTGGGGAACGCGGGGAGGACAGACGCCGGGAGGATGTGGAGGCCCGGCTGCGCTGGGGGATGGGACGCGGGGGATGGGACTGGGGCCGCCCCGCCCCCCAGCCTGCGGGCGGGAGAGCCGCGACCTCAGCCGAGCCCCATTCCCGAGGCGGCCGGGGAGCAGCTGTGGAGCAGCGCCTGATGCACCTGAGCGCGCTCCAGGGAGCGTCCCTGGCGGCCCGCTGCTTGTCCCTCTGCCGGCTCCGCACCCCGCGGGGATATGGGACAGTTCTGGAGCGAATGCAGCCTCTTGTCATTTGTTCCCCACACCCCACCCCAAAGCCCATCGCTGCAGCCCCCAGGCCAGCAATCTCCAAGACTCCTCCCTGCCAGGTTTTAAATGCACATTTGTCCCAAGTCAAAGCATAAAAGAGCGGCAGTGCTGAGCGTTCTCGGGCATTGGGAATCGGCCGGGAGTATCCCGGAGGGTTTCAGCTCCTGGCATCCTGCCAGAAGTTGGAAAGAGCCACAAGCACGCATTTCCTCTGACCAAACCCTAGTGATCGGATGGGCCCAGGACAGGGACTTTTTACAAAATACTGTATCTAATTTACCACTTGACTCTAATTGTTTCAGGTTGTAGCTGAAGGCAATTGCCCTACTCGGATTAGAGAGCCCTGTTTTATGAATCTGTTATCAAACCCAACCCCTAATCCCAGCTTTCTCCTAGCCCAGCGCCCTCCTCTTTGTTCTTTCCTCCAAGGTCCTGCTTTCTGTTTATGTGTGTCCTTCGTTTCCCACATCTTGCCAGAGCCTGAACACGGCCCACTTTGGGGCTTAAAGGCCTCACATGGGTATAGTTCTCTTGATTCAGTCTTCTCCCAAAGATTTTTGCTGGGCTAGGGTGTAGCTCAGTGATAGAACGTTTGCCTGGGATGTGAAAGGCCGCACCGGTTATGAGCCCAACAACAGCAACACCACCACACACACACACACACACACACACACACACACACACACACACACACACTGCAAAAGAAATGTTCAGTATTCGCTTTCTGGCACACACTGGCGAGAGGAATGCTGATTGTGTCTGGTTTGAAGGGAAAATAGTTATCCATCAGTTCATGTTGCCCTAGACTGGAATAACTGTGTAATAATACTGTATTTATGTGTGGTGGACAAGCCATGCTTAGCACTGTGGCTGTTAATGTCCAAGTGCAGGAATTGTGGAAGAAGAGGGGTACAAGGTGCCGGCCCTGTGCTGGCCCACTGGCTGTGTCAATAGGTGGTGGTCCCCAGCACAGAGGTAAACCGTGAGTCAACCAGTCAATTCTGTGGCTGCCTCTCACCTGTTCTCCATTTTAATTCTTCAGTACGGGGCCCAGGAGATATTCAGAAGCAATATTTTTGAAATTTCCAGGAATTGGGCTGGAGAAATGTCTCAGTGGTCAAGAACACTTGCTTCTCTTACGGAGTGCTCAATTCTCAGCACCCAGATGGTAACCATCCATAACTCCAGTTCTGAAGGATCTGATACTCTCTTCTAACTTCTGTGGGCATGAGACATGCCCATGTTGCATGCAGTCAGGCAAAGCGCCCACACACATAAAATAAAATAAAACAAATCTTAAAAAAAAGAAATGTCCAGGAACTGAAAAGTCATGTTGTTATGGTAACAACCTAACTCTAGAGTCCGGAGTGCAAGTTAATGCTGTTCACTGGCCACGCTCTTCCCACTGGATATGGTGTAGATGTGGGGTGGGGCTCTGGGGAGTTCACAAACCAGGCTTGAAGATAATATCACTTGAGTGTCCAACTGCTTCAAGGTCAAACTCAGCCTGAAGAATTTCATTGTGAAGTCATAGGACATACTGGGGGACAGGAGATGGCAAGGCACTTGTCTCAGCAGAAGAGCATGTGTTAAGGATGCTCGTTGGCTGGAAAATGGCAGATAGACCTTTCCCAAAAGACCATCTGTTTAAATATAAACCCCAATGAATTCACGATGAAAAAAATATGTAGCTAGCTTGAAGGACAACGAGAATCTTATGAATTCATGTTCCAGAACATTCTATATATACACCATTGTAGGACATTCTATAAAGAATGATGAATAAACTCTTTAAAATACGAAATTTATTTTACTTCCTATCATTATATTTTGTGTTGTCAGACTATAATTGGTGCTCTGGACCACATGAATGTAATATAATATTAAATTATATTTGCAATGACCAGGAGAGAAGAGCAACAATGTATCTATCCAGGCTTTATTATTAATCTTACATTAGGAATTTTTAGAGGCAAACTTTCTAATTTCTGTAAAAAAGGTAGTGAAATAGTTTTGGATAGGAATTTCAATTCTAGTATGACCCCTATGTCTTTAATGCATGAGTCTAAACTAGTAAGATCAATGTGTTGGATTTCAATTCTCTCCTCTGTAAAAGGCAGGATAAAACATTTCTGTACTGCATATAGTAATGAGGCTAAAATGAGATAACATGCATGAAAATCCTTCAAAAATGCTAAAAACTATAACATTATCAATTTGAGATGATGTGGAAAACAATTCATGAGCAAAGAAAGGTTTATGACTGCCAAGAGAAGAAGAAATGCCCTCTCCCAGGGGTGAGCCCCTTAATTGGTTATTCAATACAAAGTGGTCAGTTCTGAAACCACTTATACCAATGACACAAATGGACTTAGCATGTTGTATTTGTATGTTTGTGCATACATATAATACATATAAATGTACATAACAATAAGAAAGTAAAAGAGGATGTCAATTTGGGGGGGAAGCAAGGAGGAGGTTGGAGAGACAGGAACTGGGAGGGGCTGGAAGGAGGAATGGGAAGGGTGTGAGTGATGTAATTCTATTTTAATTAAACATGTTATGAAAATAATAAAAAGATGAAAAGGGAAGATTTATGAAATTATCTTATAAAATTACAGGAAATTGGTGTGTGTGTGTGTGTGTGTGTGTACACATACCTGAAGGCTAGGGCAAGACACAGAGTACCCTGGCCTCTCACTATGGAACCTTATTCCCTTGAGATAGGCTTTCTCACTGAGCCTGGAACCCCAGGAGTCTTCTTGTCTCCACCCCAGACAATGCTGAGTTACAAGTGTGCACAGCCATACACAGGAACTCAGGTCCTCATGCTTGAGCAGCACCCGTTCTTACCCACTGGGCCATCTCTCCAGATCCTAGGAATTACTTTTTAAAATTGACATAAGGGGCTGGGAAGATGGCTCAGTAGTTAAGAGCATTTGCTTCTTTGCAGAGGACTTGGGTTTGGTTCCCAGCACCCACATGGCAGCTTACAACCATCCAATGCCAGTACCAGGGGATCCAGTGTCCTCTTCTGACCTCCACGGGCACCAGGCATGCACAAAGTACACTTAAATACATGAAGGCAAAACATTCATACACATAAAATGGAAATGTATATTTTTTTAAAAGAATTGACATAAGATTCAGACTTATTTATTTATTTATTTATTTATTTATTTATTTATTTATTTATTTATTTATGTTTTTCGAGGCAGGGTTTCTCTGTGTAACTTTGGAGCCTGTCCTGGAACTCCCTCTGTAGACCAGACTGGCCTCAGACTCACACAGATCCTCCTGCCTCTGCCTCCCAAGTGCTGGGATTAAAGGTGTGTGCTACCACCGCCCGGCGATTCAGATACACTTATAATCTACAGACAACCTGGGACAGATGTGACAAAAGATACAGGGAAAACATGAGAATATAATTAAAGCAATGGATTGTTATTTTCATTAAAAAATGGTACGTTAGTTCCGAGCGTCCACTAATAATTCTTTTGAGAGGCACAAAACCCAAGATGCACACCATTCCCATGTTAAAAGTCAGTGCACCGCATTTCCCAAGCATGCACTTTTCCACAGTTTCACTGAATGTCCTTCTCTTTTTAAATTCTCATCACTACCATGGTAGAAACACAAATATTTATCATTAACTGAATCTCCTCCAAGTTGGAGGTACTTACTAATCTTTTGACGTTCGGGGACACTTGGACCTTTGTTAGTGAAGGAGCATTTCCATCTGCCCACCTTGTGCCCAGTCATCCAGTGACACTGGACGGGAAATTCAGAAGGGCGTTTGACTCTTTCCAAGTCCCGAGACAAGAAAATAAATAAATAAATAAGCATCCTGCAAGCCTGGGAATTGTGTTGAAATCCATAAACATCTGAAACTTGGTGACTCAGACGGTTAGTCAGAATTACTGGCGGGAATCTGGAGAGAAGCCACTGTGGAGGAGGGCCCGTGCTAATGATGATGGCATTTTGCTTTTCCATCACGCTGAACAAAACACTTTCCAAAACAAACAAAACAAAACAACAACAAAAAACAAAAACAAAAACAAAACAAAACAAAAACTTTTCCTCCAGACGGTCAGTCCAAGTAAAAACTTTTCGACCTCTGAGGTAATTTCCCGTCTCTGCAGTAAAGAGAACTGAAGTTCTGAATAATTGTTGTAAAAACCAACTTAAACAAAAAGCCTCTTTTGCATTCAATAAGTGTAGGAACCCATCTTTCTGGCCTCTCATTGCAGACTGAACCCAACGTGTAGTTCTTGAGAAAAGGAAAGGGCAGTTCCCACAACTAAAGCCAGAAGCTGCTTGGGGTTAGGTTTTATGTATCGCACCTTCTTCTGTAATTAACCTTCTGTTGAAGATCACTCTGAGGGTAGGCGGAAGCCCGTTCTCTCACAGTACTGTCGTACATGGCAGCAGCAGCAGCAGTAAGCTGTCGGGCGGCTTCAGAACACCCTCTGACTATCTCCCCATCTGACCGGAAGAGGATTTGGATAGCTACAGAGAAAAAGAATAATGTGTTCATGTGTCCCTCCAGATTCCAAGTCCTGGCAGGCGACCTCAACTCTCTTGGCCACCACAAAGCAGTCACTGAAAGGACACAGCTGCAGGAACTCTCAACTAAGCACTAAATTAACCCACAGGGTTGGAGGCAAAAGTTCTGTACCTGACCCTAACACAGTGTGGTTTTGAATGAATGGATTAGCATTGGATGGTGCTGTGGGAGCTTCTGCAAAATTAAATGGTGCCTCGGCCAGTGCTGAGTCTCTTATGGAAAAGTGTCTAATTCAAACAATCAAAACAAAACCACAGAGAACCCAAATTTGAATTTTCTAAGGTCTACAGCTTTGGCTAGTACCCAAAGAAGACTAATGGCCTACTGGCTGGTGACAAGCTGTGTATT